TGTTGTTTGGCGGGTCCGGGCTGGGGATTCAAACCCGCCACCTTAGGTGTACGTGGCTGGCGCCTTAGCCGGTTGAGCTATAGGCGCCGAGCCTCCTCTCTCTCTTTTTAATAGCTTCTTGCTCTAATATGGTCAACACATGGGAACTAGGAAGTACTGAAAAGAAAAATATCCCTGAGATATCACCTAACCCCAACAGCACGTGTCTCCCCTCATTGACCACATCTCTTGGATGTCAGAGCTTTAAAAGAAGTTAAGAATCTAAAGATAAAAAAGCATCATAGTAATGATTAAGATCTAGGTATTTATGGTATGCTCTGCCTCTTATTTGTGACTTCGGGCATGCTGTTTAGCCTATTGGCACCAGTCTCATCCATTTTTATGGTGGTAGAGTATTTGTGAGGATTATGTAATATATGTGAAATAGGATTTAGCACAGTACATGACAAATAATATTTGTCATATAGCATCATGCATTCACACTAGTAACACTAAAAGTCAGCAGCCCCAGATCAGAAAGTGTGGACCCTTCCCATGAGCTGGAGAGAAGAACTCTGACGAGACTTTTATTTGCCAGCAATACAGACATTTCAGGGTGCCTGGGCAGTAGGGACTTCCTGAGTTTATGCTTCTACCAATTGCTAAAGAAGGCCTTCAGAGAATCTCTATATAGTTATTTGAGGCTCTGAAGGCCACTAAGACTTTCTCTACTAACCTCTCCAGGGTTGAAAGTTTTGGGCTTCAGACACAAAATATCAGAAAGTTTTCTTTACTTTTTGCTAACTATAGAATTAATTCTTCTTCAGCTTCTCCTAGGTTCTTCAGGCCCTCTTGGGTCATAGGGGCCATGTAGGGGTCTCTCTCCTGTCTCCTACCCTTTCTCCCATGGCACTATCTTTCTTGTTTTCTGTCAACAAACACCCTAAGTTGAGTGGCTGTCTCACAACTGCTTCATGTCATGTTTTATGATTGGAGATCTTACGTAGTCCTCCTTAAAATAAAGGAGGCTTTATTGTGTGTCCATAGGGGTTTCTGGGGTCACTTCCTGGGAGCCCTGCAGACTCTGGGGTTGGCAGAATGACAGATATATCTTATGTTGCAAACTCTCTTGCAAAAGAGCTATAGCCAATTTGCTTGCTGACCCAAAGTTTGCTGCTTTTCTAGTTCAGGTAGCATAGGCTGAGCAGATTTCTTTGATTAGCGAAGCTGGTATATTTTCTGATTCCATTGAATATGAAGGAATGTATACATAAAACAGTTTCTTGTGAAAGCTGTAATTGGATTTTAAGGGTTGCATCATACAATGTTTTCACGTTCAAAATGGAATCAGATGTGTACAGTCCATTGCTTTGGGATTCAAAGTTTTTGAACCTCTTTCCAAGCAAGAAAAATCTCCCTTTTCCCAGTTGTTAAAGGTTCCATTTTACCCAGACAAGAAAAAACCACTGCAGTTGAGGGAACCCAATTGGCTCTACATAAACAGTGAACATAATTAAGGGATTGAGATCTTTGAGGGCTTGAGTTGTGCTATGCCCACCTACAATGATCACTCCAACTCCACGAAGGATGCTGCTCTACAGCCCTTTGAGGTAACCCCAAAGAGCTGTGTGTGGCCAGGACTTGCCACTTCTCTAATCAAAGTTTGGAGGCCCAGGTATCTCAGGAGCCCCTTACTGATAAGCTGCACCCTCTCCTAGATGTTGGACGTAAAGATAGATGTTCTGAGCCTTATTGTCCAAACACTGGGACTCTCCAAGCCACTCTGTAGTAAGGACTATCCTTTCCATTGCTAAACAAAGATAGAATCAAAGGATTCTAGGCCTGTTTCCTGCTGGAGCTAAGCAGGGGTGGAGACTCTGGACAGATTAAAAGGTGGTGGTGTGGCCTCTTTAGACAGATGTACAGACCAACCAACCCCTCCTAGGCATTAGGGCCACGTCTCCTCCTACTTTTGACCAGGCTTCATAATAGAAGACAAAACAGGCCTTCTGGCTGTCCTGGCTTTAACAGGGGGATTTTTCATACATCCTGCTAGTTAATTCGAGTTTTGCACTGAGGTTTGGGGACAAACCTCAGCTAGGAGCAAAGTCTTACTTTGCCTTGTTTGGTTTTCTTTGCAGTTTTTATGGAGCAGCCTAGCAAGAGGATGGAGTAGTCAAAGGTGGGATTGGATATTACTGGGTATCTTGGGTCTCCTTGACCAGATATCACACTAATCACACCTCAGCATCCCACATGTCTCAGTCCACATGTTGCTGTAACAGAATACCATAGACTGGGTAATTTAAAAAGAAATTTATTTCTGAAAGTTCTGGAGGCTAAGAATTCTAATACCAAGGTGCCAGAAATTGGCAAGGGCCTTCTTGCTGCATCATCCCACGATGGAAGCCAAGGTGGTAGGGACAGAAGGGGGCCACGCTCATCCTTTTATCAGGAACCTACCACTGCAACAACTAATCTAATTCCATAATAATGGCCTTAATCCATTCATGAGGACAGAGCCTTTGTCACCTAATAATCTCTTAAAGTCCCATTTCTCAACACTGTTGCTTTGAGGATTAAGTTTCCAACATGTGGGCTTGGGACACATTCAAACCACAGCATCATACCATGATTAAGTTTAAGAGAGGACCGTGCCAGAAAGTCTCCATTCACTCTGTCTAAAATCCCACTTTTAGACGTTCGGTAAATAGTGATTGGCAAAATGCAATCAAAAGGCTAGATGCTAAATTCTTTGAAATAAAATGTTATTCGTTCACTGATTCACTGTCACCTTGTCTAAAGTTGGCTGTTTAATGAGTTTGGCAAAGACTCCTAGGTCTGACTTTATGGTTATGTTCTTTAAACAAGATTAGTAATATTCATATCAGAGTTACCTGCAGACCCATCACAAAGGGTCTTCAAATATTTTTAAGGACCTGTCCCTTGTGTCTGACCCGTTAGTTGGCTGCCTTTCTCCCTACAGGCCTGGGGTCAGTAAGAGTTGCTGTTTCACAAGTAATTTTTCTTTCCTTCTTTGTCCCTTTCTTTCTTTCTTTCTTTCTTTCTTTCTTTCTTTCTTTCTTTCTTTCAGCACATAACCTTGGATCAGAAAGCATTTTCTTCCTCATTCCTCAAGTGACCAGAGCTCATGGTTCAGCTCATGCCATGGCTATTTAACCAAGAAATTTCCTCTGTGAAATCTATAAGCTTAGACCACATTATGCACTTTAAACTTTAATAATGTTAATTCTTAGTATTAGTTCCTAGCCTACAGAATAGCACCTGACCTTCAGGGAATGGTCAAGGATTTTCATGTTAAGTAATTCACAGGCTACTTTAGCAGGTCAGTTAAAATGCTGGTACATTTTTGCCCTCAGTGAAGAGGGAAAAACTTAACTGTGAACTTGAGTTTAATTAGATTATTTTCTTCACCTCTAGAAAGGATGACTAAATGGACTATACTTTGAGAAATGAGTAGAGGAAGAGGGATGAGTAGAGGAAGTAGTTTGAGGGATCAGTAGAGGAAGAACTAGAGGTAATGTTTCAGAGAGCAGAGGTAAGGTGTTGGACACCTGCTTGGTCTAGGAAGGTTAGGGGCTTAAAGGAGAAGGGCTACTGGAAAGGGGATATGAAACCACAAAGATCATTTTAGAAAAGAGCATCCTTTGGTTCAACTCAAAATGTTGACTTCAGTTAGGCAAAAAAATAGAATGAAGCTTCCTAACACTGAAAATCACTAATGCCATGGCCACATACATATTATTCAGAAAAGTGTTAAAAACTACTTTTATATTCAGGTACATACTTGGAAATACGTCCACAGTATTGCATCTTAAGGATCCGGAGTTGTTTGCAGCCTATCTGAAGGGACTGAAGCATTTGGTCAGTGAGCAGGACACAACCAGAGACATCCAAAATGTGCACATAATGGCATTTTGCTGATAACATCTCTATCCCTGAGTCAGTAATCTGAAGACACAGCCAGAATAAAGTATTGGTTATTCAAACAACCACCATCTCAGGTAAGAACAATGCCTTGGTCAGTTCAGGCCATTATAATAACATAATATGGACTGTGCTGCTTAAACATCAAACATTTATTTCTTACCATTCTGGAGGCTGGGAAGTCCAAGATTAAGATTAAGATGCCTGCAGATCTGGTGTTTGGTGAGGGATTTGGTAGGGCCCCTCCTCCTCGTATGCAGAGTCTGCCTCTGCCTTCTCGCTATATTCTCACGTGGCAGAGAGAGTTCTTGCCTCTTCCTCTTCTTATAAGGACAAAACCTCATCATGAAAGCTTCACCCTCATGACCTCTTCTGCACCTGTTTACCTCTCAAAGGCCCCACTTCCTAACAGTGTCACACTGGGAGTTAGGGTTTCAGCATAGGAATTTTTGGAGGACACAATAATTCAGTTCCTAACAACAGAAATCAGGATACTTGCAGATTTTTTCACTCAGCTTTCCCATGATGGGTTTGTAGTTAAAGTTAGTTGTTTAACTGTTTCCAGATAATGTCAGAACAATAAAACGTCTGCCTCAAGTGGCATCAATAGACATTGTGGCCTTGCTGTTATTTTCTTTTAGGAGTGAGTCCTCTGGTTTGGATGGGAAGCTTCATCAAAATTTCTTTAGTAACGTATGCCTCACCAATAAAGCAGCTCATGAAATGCTATAGAGCTGTTATTTGCCTTTAAGTGTAAAATCCCCTCTAAAGCACCATCAATTTAGAAACATATGTTTATGTTTCAAAACTACAAAATATATATCCCCTGAAGTTAACCTGCAGACAGGATCAGATTCCTATGAGTCTGGACATCTCTGATGGATTGTAGGTAAGAAACAAGGGGTAACTTGGAAAGGATAAGTAGGTAAGACAGATGTTTAGAAGCAGGGGAGAAGGAAGAGAAGAAGCCACAAAGACTCATGAATCCCTTTCTGAGAAATTCTGCCAAGGGTTCCAACATCTCACAGGTTTTCCCACATGTCCTGGAGAGGCAATTCAACTAAGATTATTTCACTTACTCAGGGTTTAGCTTTAGAATTTATAGCTGAGCCGAGACTTGGTACAGAATCAACTAGATTACTCTCCCTAAAGGAATTTTTTTCCAACTGGATTTAATTTCCCATTTTAAATGTTTGAACATTCTAAAAAACATACATTATGAGGCTGGGCTCTTGTTTTTAACATAAAGTTAAGAGAATTGTGCAGTAAAGCCCTTCAGTTTGAAATATACTTTTTAAGTTTGGGAAAATACATGTTGTCATTGTCTAATCGTGTCCTATTTCCAGAACATACTCAGGACCAAGGTTTAACATTGCAAATCATTCTCAAAAAAAAATTCTTCAGACATTTCTGCCATACTGTGTGGGTCTCTGAGGATCTGATGTCATTGAGGGGAAGGGGCTCTCAGAATTGTAGAGGAAATGAACAATGAGGTGATGGAAAAGTCCGGGCAGGTGGAGCTCAGAGAGTAGGTTTGGTTTGATACTAGGGGAGAGCTAAAAAGGGGCCTGACAATTCCTGGAGATGTTCAAAAACTGAGGTGACATTGTTGGGATTTATGGATGGAGGGCTGGGAACCAGGGATGGAGATGGCTTGGCTGCATTCTTACTACCAGCTACAAGGTTGTGCTCCCAGCACCACTGGGCAGGGATTATGTTACTCCCCACACAACTACCTTTGATTCTCTTAAAAAAAAAAAAAAAAAAAAAAAGGTTTTGGTCTTTTCTTAAATTATTTTATATTTTAGAAATAATCCAAAACATTACCAAAAAGAATTGGCAAAAATAGCAAAGGAAAACAAAGTCATCACTTGAATTAACGTAACTACTGGTTCTCCATTCCTAGTCCCCCATTAACAGAATTGTACATATGCTAATTAAATTAATTTCGTAGCCTACTTTTTTTTTTTTTTTTTAAGAGACAGAATTTTGCCAGATTTTCCAGACTGGCTGGAAACTCCTGGGATCAAGCAATCATTTCACCTCAACCTCCCAAGTAGCTGGGGCACTAGGCAGGCACTACCATGCCCAGCTTGCATTCTGTTCTTTTTGTTTTTACTAATGCATTTCCATACTACTTCACAGTCCTCATACTTATAATCTTTAGTAGTTATAAAATGTTTGACTTAATAGACACAGTTTACCATTCCTATATTTCTGGTCATTTCAGTTACTTTCAAGTTTTTACTATTTAAACAACATTTTGATGATTGTGTTCGTGAATGTAGTCTTCTCTAGATTTTGCATTGTTTCCCTTACGACCGATTTCAGAAGGTGTACTTAATGGGGTATGCCATGCTTTGAATGCTTGTCCCCTCCAAAATTCATGTTGAAGCTTAGTCCCCAGTGTGGCACTAGTGAGAGGTAGGGCTTTTAAGAGGTGGTTGTATCAGTAGGGCAGCCTTCATGAAGGGATGAATTAACTGATTAAGAGGTTAATGGTCTGCTGGGTTATCACAGGAGTGGGACTGGTGGCTTTATAAGAAGAAGAAGAAGAAGAGAAGCCTGAACTGCCTTGTAAACATGCTTGGCTCTCTGGCCACTTGATGCCCTGTGCCACCCCAGGACTCTGCAGAGTCCCCACCAGCAAGGAGGCTCTCACCAGGTGCTCCCCCTCAACTTTGGACTTCCCAGCCTCCAGAACTGTAACACCTTTTATTTCTTATAAATCAAGTCTCTGTCATAAGCAACAGAAAATAGATCAAGACAGAGTTTGACTATTTCTGTTGCTCTTATTTACATATTTTCACAAAAGGATCATACTCACCTATCATGCCATCTGCAACATAAGAACTAGTTTCACTGAACCCTGGCCACTCACTGGACATAACCATTAACATTACATAATTTGGTAGGTCATAAGTGGTACTTCAAATAATGTTTTAACTTGGATTTATTACCTCAAATCTTTTCCACATTGATTACTAATAGTATTTTATCTAGTTTGAATCCCAGCCTTGCCACTATCTAGTTGTGTGACAAGAGACAAGTTGCTTAAATTTTGTGAACTTTAATTTACCCATTTATAAAGTACTTACCCAAGATTGCCACAGGATTAAATGAGATAATGTAGGGAACCAGTGACTAGCATATGGTAAGCACCCAATCAATAATAATAGTTATAATTATGATTATTCATCTCCTTTATCATTAATCTATGGGATCTGCTTTTTGTTTTTGAAGTAGGAGCTCTTTATACAAAAGAGAGCTGGACTGTTATCTTTCATGTTTGCTGAGTTATGCTGTTGTTTTTCCCCACAGTTAGTGTTTTGATTGTCTGGGAAATCGAGTAATTTCGCTAGCACTAGTAATGATCCCAAGAAAAGAAAACCTCCTCAAAGATGGGCCAAGAGAAGGATCTGAATAGGCCACCAAGTAAACTATTGGCCACCAAGGAAACAATTGGTTTCACGATATATTAACTAATAAAAATCTATAGGCAGGAAGAAATGACTTACTTTGAAGATTAGGCCAAAAATAGGTGCCCGAATTTTTGCACTAGCTTTTTGATAAGCGTCTAAATCTTGGGAAGGTTTCAAATATAGTAAAAATATTTGGGATATACTTGCCAGAGAAAGAGAGGTTCTTGGGAAATTATCTTCTTCAATATTAGGCTATATTTGGCTATTTCCTGTTTTATTCTCTTTATTTATTTGTGAGAATATAGCTGTGGTAGATTAAAAATGGCCACAAATACTTTGTAGCTACTCGCAGCAAAAAGTAGAGTCTGTTTACCCACCTCTTCAATCTAGGCTAGCCTTATGACTTGTCTTGTGACCAAAAGAGTGGAAAGAAGTCATATTCTTCTTCTGAGTCAGGCCTCAAGAGGCCTTGCAGCTTCCTCTTTGCCCTCTTGAAATGTATTGCTGCCCTGTGAAAAAGCTCGGTCAACCTATGTGAGGATGAGACCACATATGGCAAGAAGCTATGCTAGCCTAGGTCCCCTTGGCCAGCCAGCTCTACGTGCAGCCAAGAGATTACTGCAGCTACATGGGCAACCCTGGATACAACCTCTATCAGAAGAATCCCCCAAGACCAGTCCAAATTGCTGGCTCACAGAATTGTGAGCAAACAAAATGGCAGTTGTTAAAGTCACTGAGTTTTAGAGTCACTGGTTATACAGCAATAGATAACTGACACATTAGCGGTGTGCCAAAAATCTCACCTTATGTATTATACGTCCCCATCTGTGAAATGAGAGTAATTCAAATAGACAAAACTATTATTAACTCTCATCACCCAGGGTCATCAAGGCTCTGAAGACATTTCTGATGATAAATTTTGGGGTAAATTTTCACCATATTAATATGAAAGAAATTCTGTGCATGCCCTGGGGCTTTCTTTCTCCCATCCCCTTCTTAACTGACAAGGTTGTGTAGCTATACCTGCACCTAGGACCTCAGGGCTCCTGGGAGAGCAACGGGGCTTTGTGACCTAACTCATTCACCTTCTCAGATATATTTCACATGCAAGACAGTTGGTTGGGTAGCCTTGGACCCACCTACTTTTCTCCTTTTCATAGCCTGTCATTCCCAAGAATAACTATAGAATATTCTGGGAATGTAACATCCTGAGATAGGGTTTGGGATTGGGTGTGGGCTGGAATAGCTGGCTGGGCTGTTCCATTAACCCCTAGAAACAGAATATCCTTCAGCACTTTAGCTCAGCAGGTTTTATGGACTCCAGGCTATAAAATCCAACGTGGGCGACTTGCTGGAGTCCCTCAGCTGTGGTGAAGAGGACCATGCACAGCTGAGACTTGATCCACCTCAAGCAGCTTTCGGGAGCCTTAGGGAACTGACTCTTGACAAGTCCTGTGCCTTGCTACCAATCTATAAGTAATATATCTGCTCCATGTGACCTGTTGGCCTGTGAGTGCGTTCTGTCTCGGCAGACAAGCTGGGAACCAGTGCTGAGTGAACCTGCAGAAATGTGATTCTAAAGCATGGGCTTGTTTTAGCTCTCTTAACTCCCTCAAGGGTGCACTGCAGAAACAATTTTTCATTATTGTTAAGGGATTCGCTTTGATTTTTCTCATTTCCCTCCTCCCTTTTCTTTCTTTTTAACCACTGCTAAGTCCTCCGTCACTTCCACATCGTGAGGTCAGAGATGACAGTGTTAACTGACAGGGCCTTGAGCACTGCTGAGGTCTTTGAGCTGGGCCCACAGCAGCCAGCTTTTTTCCTCTGCCCTTGCTTGGCATTTGAGTGCTGGGTACAATGTGGCCACAGTAATACTGACTGACCTTGGAGGTGTGGTGCTTGTAGGAAAGAGCTGGCCTTCCAGGGATGGATAAAGTGACCATTCAAAATTCACTTGTGGCCTTTTGGGAAATCTGGAATAGAATGATGAGCCAGACACCAATGTGTTTTAAGGCTTATCAAAAGCAATGTAATTGCAGCAACTTAGATGGAGCTGGAGACCATTTTCCTAGGCAAAGTATCTCAGGAACAGAAAAACAAACCACACATGTGCTCTCTAATAACTGGAAACTAAGCGATGGACGCACATGAGCACAAAGAGACGTAAAGGACACTGGAAATCAAGAGTGGGGGCGTGGAAGGAGGTGAGGGGTAAAGCTTACCTATGGGGAACAGTGAACACTATTCTGGTGATGGGCACATTAAGTCCCCAAACTAAGCCTTATACAAGGTATCCATGTAATTTATTTTGAAATTTAAAAATAATATAAAAAATACAAAGAAAATCTATTTTTTAATCTCTAAAAAAAGCCACGTAAGTGGAATACATTAGGCTGGGCCACAGCCTTCTGACTTCTGGGTGAGGTGAAGTGAGGTTAGTGGAGGAGTGTTCTGACTGGCCCAAGTAATGGTCACCACATGTTCTGAATCAGGAAGCTCCTCTGACCCCCCGTCTGACGGTAAAGCTCAACCCTTCTACGGCTTTACATCAGGGCTCAGAAACAACCAACGCCCCTCCGTCTCCCCCAAACCTTTCCCGCAGGGTGATGTGTTTCATGACACGTCCTCTGTTACCATCTCCCCTAGGCCGCAAGGCAGTCTCCACTGCACAGTTTATAGAAGGAATTCCCTCAGCTGCTTCCTACCTAAAAATAAAGCCAAAGCGAAACAAAACAGAACAAAACTCCTCTGCCCTATTTTCTATTCTCCCTGGAGCCCCTCCTTTTCTCGTTTTCCTCCTTTCTTCTTTAGAGCCACTAAGAAGCCGAGTCTCTGTCTGTGCCCGCTTTACGGCAGGGCCGCTGCCAGCGAGCCATGTGCCGGCCATGTGTGGGTGCTTGGAAAGCAAGCACCCCTGCCAGCTCGCCTGCTCAAGCTGCGGGCAGCTGTCGGTGCTGCTGGCGTGCTGGGTTCCCCAACCCAGCTCACTTTACAACTAGGGGATGCTGTCCAGAAAGACGTCTGGTTTCCCCAGTTCTAAACTAGTATATTATTCAACAAAACTAATTTTGCTGTGAACATAGTGGCTTCATTTTGTCCTGGCTGATCATTGTCTTTCCCCCTGCTGCCTTCTCCTCTGTTACAGCACAATTAGCTGTGGAAGATTCCAGGAGGTTCTAACATCACTCTTAATCCTGTCATCCTGTCCACAAACTAAACCACACAGAAGCTGAACTGGTGGACAAACCATAGAGTGTTGGGACTCTTAAGAGTCAGGGTGATCCTGCAGTAAATAAAAGCTCATCAGTCTACACCGAAAAAGAGAGACCTGGAATTTCTGAGGACTTTATAAAAAAACTTTTTTGTTTTTTTTGTTTTTTCTTCCTTCCTAGTTTGCTAATGCTAAGCTTTTCCTGCAAATTTGTTTGGGTCATTATCTTCCACTTTAGAGACTAACCCCAGACTCCCTGTTCATGATTAATAAGGGGGGACGAAACCCTGACTGGAAGGTGTGCATGCATGGCGCGGGGCTTCTCCATGACAAGCTTAGCGAAGGGTGGTCTAGGGGGTTATTTGTTGGGAAAGCTCACAATGTCCATGTTTTTAGATCTTTTACCATGGGTGAGTCAGCGTGCCTAGACAAGAGGATATCAGTTTGTTGCCTGGAGGAAAAGATCTGGCATCTAAGTTCTAAATACTGAATTGGAAAAAGAGCTTGAGTATCTGTGCACTCAGCATTTAATCACTTAATTGACCCAGAAACCCTCTATCTCTAGAACAGTGGGTCTCCATCAGGTGTGATTTTGCCACCCAGGGAACATTTGGCACTATCTGGAGACGTTTTTGACTGGAGGTATAGGGGGGTAGGTACTTCTGACGTGTAGTGAGTAGAAGGCAGGGATGCTGTGACCCATCTACAGTGTACAGGAAGACCCAACACTACAAAAAATTATCTTGTCCAAAATACCAACAGTGTTGGGCTTGAGAAATCTGTATTTAGGAAATAAACGTTTAGGCTTTTGTTTGGGATGGACAGGGACAGTCACCCAGAAGTGTGAAGTAGGAGAAGAGATTTAGTGATCTATGTACTTCTACAGAATCTTTACTGTAGAAGAATCTTCCTTATTTTAGCCCCTCTTTACCCAGCTCCAGAGCTACCTAGTACTGCCAAGTTTGAATACTGTGGGGTAAATCTGATTTTTTTTTCAGCTTTCTCTACTATTGGCTTAGGATTCAAAGCTGTGTCTGATCTTAGTCCATCTATTTTCAAGCTTCCAAAATGTTGTTGTTCTTGTCTCCTCTCCTATTTTCCTTATCCACATGGGCCTTCACTCTTCATGTGCAGTTTTGATAGGGTTTCAAGAGGAACAAAATCATATGTGTATATTGAATCTGCCTTAGTACTCCAGAACCCAAGACCTCTATTTCTTGACAGGGAGATCTGTCCATGATACAGTAAGAGAAAAGAAAATAGGTTACAATATACTGCAGAAAATGTATTTGTATTTCTTTTAAAAATGAGGCAAATATTTATAATCTCTTTGGACATAGGAAAAATTCTAGAAGAATAAATATAAAATGCCAATAATGGTTATGTCTAAGTGGCAGGACAGTGGATTTTTGCTTTAAGCTTTTATATAGATCAAATTTTTCATAACAAGTATGTATTTCATTTGTATACAGATGTCAAGAAAAAATATCAAACACTTGACAATGAGACAGAAGATGAATTATTTGTCCTTGCAATGTCAAACTGGAACATTGTTTTAACAGAGCCACCTGAGGAATTCCATAGGAAATCATGCCTTTATTTGACATATTATTTACTATTGATTAAGTAACTCAATTAAGTTACTGTTAACTCGTTAAATTTTTGTCCAGGAGAAATACAAATTATTTCTACCTAGTAGAAACTAACCCCAAGTTGTGGTTTTCTTGCCTTGTAGGACATTAACCAATTTTAGATCTAACCTAACTGTCTTAATCCAACATTCTGTTATCAGTTCCTATAAATACTAAGTTCATCAGATGCTTCATCACAGTGGTTCTCAACTGTCCTAATGCTGCAACCCTTTAATACAGTTTCTGTGGGTCGTGACCCACAGGTTGAGAACTGCTGCTTTACACACTAGCTTTATCACTTTGCTGGTTTTCTCATTAATGAATTAAATAAATCTTTAACATGTGTTTATATTTCTTTGAGAATTATGTTCTTAGCTTTTGGAAAATTCTACTTTGATACAAATGAAGTCATAAAACTATTTCCAATTTGGAGACAGAAAAAATAATCTAATAAATACTTCAAACATGGCAAAGAAAACAAGCTCTGTGATGAGTGCAGCCCCTCGAGCGCTGTCCTCCCTGGGTTTCCTGGCAGTGCTTAAATTTGACATGTCTAAGCTCTGACTCCTACACATACCTTTGGACAGCCAGCAATGATGAGAGACGTGATGTCAGTGCAGTAAATGGCCAATGCTTTAATAATACCATCTGACAGCCGGGAGCAATAAGACACATCCAAGTATTCCAAGGTCAGAGAGAATCTGCAGAATGCCTGCAAGGAATTCCAAGGGCAAAGATTTTTTTCTTTTCTTTGCCTTTATCTTTACTCGAATGTTATATATATCTAGAGCTATTTTACCCATAGCAGCTTACTTCGTTTTAGTACCTGAGATACAGATTTGACCTACTGATGCCAAAAAAAGGGAAAACTAATATTACATCCAATGTCTTTACAGCAGAAGATAATCACATACCAGCCTAATAGCTTAGCCATATTCAAATTCCTGCTAACAAAATTTAATTTTCCTGAAGTTAGCTCTAAGGAAATCTTACTTGTCGAGTCAGTAATGATACAGCCAAGTGAATGGAGATAGAGAAACCTGGAGGTAAAACTATATTGCAAACACTTCAGGGTTGACAATGGAATTTAATGTAAAGAGCACACATTATTTGGACTCAACAGACCTGAGTTTTAATTTCATTTCTACCACTTATTATCTCTGAAATCTTAGTAAATCACTTGACTTTTCTGAGCCTCGGTTTCCTCTTCTTTAAATGAGGAAAAATTATATCTACTCTACAGCATTGCTTTGAAATGCCATAATATTCTTCTGAAATTTCTAGGGCTAGAAAGAGGCCTGGAAATAATAAATTCTTCCCTCTAAATCAGTATGTCTTAATTTTCATTGTACTTTTCATCTTAAGAAGAACTGAATGATAAGAATCCATGAGGAAATAACAGTTAAAAGTTTACAACTCAGCAAGAACAAAATGATTCACAAAGTAAACATAACATTCATCGTAAAAATATATTCATAAAGCAAGAGGGGGAGAAATTGGAAACCATACCGATTCAAGATAACATTAAAAGTCCCTCCTTCAAATTTTAGGATGACAACTATCTACATGTGTTCAGTTACTCTAAAAATTATGCCTCACTTGGAAGCAGCTCGAGTTCTTAGAGGACTAAATTAGGGACCTTAGTAAATGATAGTTTACCACTCACTCTAGTTATAAATACTAAATTAGTGTTACTAGTAAGATACTCCCTATTTATATATAAAAATAGATGTCCATTTGACTACATGTCCTTTTTCCTCTCAGGACTGAGAAAAGGACCTGGGATACTGGATCAGTTCATGGCCATCTGTACGACTTCAGAGGTACAATCACCAGTGGGCTTCTCTCCCACCTCGTATGCCAATTTTCTCTTGTCTTAACCCTAAGGAAGACTGGAAAGAACTGGTTACCCAGCCATTTTCTTTAGCAAGTTAACAGTATAGGGAAAATTTCCAGGAGGGGCAGTTTAACACGGTAGATAAGACTAGACTATGGCATCACACCATAGGTTCAGAAGCAGGGCTCTGCCACTGTGTGGGTTACTGAGTCTCTCAAAGCCAGTATCCCCGTGGGTAATAACAGGATAACAGTACCCATATCAAATGGTGGTTATGTGGATTACTTCAGGTATAGTTCTAGGAAAAATAGATTCTCTGGGTATCTATAAAGTTCCATATACAATGTTGAGAGGATGTATGCACAGTGGTTAGTGCTTGGCACATAGCAAACACTCACTAAGAATGAACTAGTGTTTATTTTGGCAGCATATATACTAAACTTGGAACAATGCAGAGATGATTAGGTTGGCCCTTGCTCAAGGATGACACACAAATTTGTGAAACGTTTCATTTTTTTTTTCCCAGTTAGGGAGAAACAATTCAAAAGATCTATTGTGCAACATGGCAGCTACAGTTAATGTATTTTATCTTTGAAAATTGCTAAATTAAAAATTTTTTTTCAAGGCAGCGCCTGTGGCTCAAAGGAGCAGGGCGCCGGCCCCATATGCCAAAGGTGGCAGGTTCAAACCCAGCCCCAGCCAAAAACTGCAAAAAAAAAAAATTTTTTTTTCAGTGCAACAAAATAATGTGAAGTAACAGATGTTAATTAGCTTGATTTAACCATTCCAATGTATACATATCTCAAAACGTGTTATACTCCATAAATAAATTAAATTTTTTTTAATTGACAAAAATTGTAAGTCTTTAAAAAGAATAAAACACACGTTAACTATTATTGGGATTTACATATGACATCAACAATATTAATAATGTACAAATAGTTCTTTAACCTTAAGTCATCTTTCCCTGACCACAACAGCCAACAGTGATTCTGCCGTTGACCTCATGCAGAACTTGTCTTTTTCAACTGATTCAGCACTTACACAGTATTTGACTCATGTCTGTACTGTGACTAACTTTGCATGGAAATCTCTCTTGTCTACAAGCAACCAAATGATGGCAAAAATTGGAAGGAGCACCTTGTCAGGAGACAGGCTGAGGACTGGAGGTAATCAAGCAGAGACAGCAGTTGTGTCCAGGGTGCCACAGGGAATTTCCATTTGAATGGCTGGCATCAGGGGGCTTGAATCTCAACTTGCAGATTGAATAGACTTTTCAGTAAGAATGTAGTAAGTATTGTCTGGAACTGTGCTAGCTATTCTATCCCTTTTCTAAGCATTGTATTTACAACATAGTGAGTTCTCAAGAAGTACTAATCCTCCAGAAAATTAAGAAGTCTGTTTTAATCATGAAGTCTTATGTTGCAAGAAGTTGGATGACATTGTTTTCAGCTTAGAGAATGGATAGACTTTGAGGAACCAGACAAAATTTAGAGCAAGGAATATTTAAACTATAAGAATAACTTCTTGAAAGATGAAACACCTTTTAAAGGGAGATTGAAGGCTCTTAGCACCTGAAAAGCCTCCTCAGTGGTATTACCAACGTCTTAGATGGCTTGAATCAGTTCTACTTTACATCTTTTTAGATGCTGTAAGAGTCCCTGAAGCCAAACTTTCTCAGAAGTTTTAAATTAAAAAGGAACTTTACAAAATGATTACAAGGTCTAAGATACATTCGTGGTAGCAGTCTCATCCAGGGAAAATCTGAGGCACAAAGATTGGTCCAAGTCTTTATGCTAAAATCAGTGATCTGGCAGATCTGAGAACTAAAGTCAGAACTTTTCCTCTCTTGTAATTCATATTTTTCTTGAGAGAGATATAAATCATACTAAGTATTTAAGTCTGCAGGCATGTTTCAACATATCACTAGTGAAATTCTGTTTTCCCCTTACAGATGAGATTATTATATGCACTTCTGGGTCCAGTGGTGTAGAATCACACATACATTGGTGCTGTTGATTTTCTTTTCCTGGAAGATGCTATGCTAAGCTCTTTCCGAGTTAAAATCGTTGAGGAAAGATGGAGAGAAAATGCAAAAATTATAGCTGGGCTTCTTTCCCATGGATCAGCCAGTTTTGCTGTGGGGTTAACAATGTGGAAGAAAACTTTCATATCTCATAGTGAGTTAAATCATTTTTCTCTCTCTGTCTTCTGAGCTGAGTCACAGTGCAGGGGCTTCATGACCACATTCCTAAATCGGGTATGTATAGGAGACTGAGTCCACTCACGTTTATTGACTGTCACAATAATATGCTTTTGCTAAAATCCTGATTTAAACCACCTTGACAGATGGCAGCTCCGAGCCTTTAGAAAGCTCGCTTCACAGTGCATATCATAGTATCATCTCTGGACTGTTTGACTCATCAGGTCCCAATTAATTCTTCTGCAAAGTTGGAGGTTTCTCCCCTTGTCTGTTGATAATTCTGGAAAAATCTTGTGCTGTCAAGAACATTTTCTATGATTAGGACCATTTGAGGGGCTGCTTCAAAGACTAAAACACAACTACACGATTTTAATTTATAAACCCCCGTTTCTTGGGTCTCATGGGTCTCATGTGTCCCATGAGATGCAGAACTACACTCTACCAAAGATGGCCTTGTTCCCACCAGAACAAGAGCAGGTAAGTGTGGGACTGGCCTGGGCACCAAAACCAAACTGCAGAGCCTGGGGGCTGCACCCTCCTGCTGAGATGCCACTCCAGCATTCCCACCTCCCTCCATTCCTCCCTTTACCTCTTCCCAGGTGAGCAAGGTTTAGCTAGAGCCCAACCTCAAAGGAGCCCACAGATTTTAAATATGGAGAGGACTCTATGAAAGAGAAAAGGGGCAAGGCCAAAGCACCAAAAAGAATTTAGAATTGTGATATACAAGTGAGTTTATTTTTCTAATAGTACATCTAGCACGTTTACTTGGTACCACTTGATGAACAAAAGTGTCCAAGTTTGTAATCTGGCTGGCATTTAATACCTCATGACAGAGGATGTCAGATAATCAAGTCCACAACATCCTGACTAGGTGGGAACCACTTGTACACTTTATCACCATACAACATAAAAAGACCAGTGTTAACTGACAGATAAGGTAAAGTGGAACCTGTGACCTTCCAGTCTGGAGTTTGCTGTGCCTCTTCTTCCTCACAGGCACTTCCACAAAGCAGATTATGAAATATTTGATAGGAAAGGCCTTTGGTCCAGTTTTGGCAGTGATAGGGTTTTTTTTGTTGTTGTTGAATGGGAAATCTCAATACAGACAGTACAATGATCTTTCCTGGAGCACTGTGCTAGGTTTTTTCCATTCTCTTTTTTTTTTTAAGAGACAGAGTCTCACTCTATCACCAGTAAAGAGACACCAGTCTCACTTTATCATCAGTAAAGTGCTGTAGTGTGACAGCTCACAGCAACCTCCAACTCCTGGGCTCCTTCCAGAGTTCAAAGTCTCAAGAAACAAAGCTGTCTTAGCCAAAAAAGAGGTCCAGACATGGGTTTTGATGTATTCTTATTACAACCAAAGACAAGCTCAAAAAAACAGAGATTCAGATTTCCCCTGGCTGCGGATAAATCTTTCATCAGAATACCTTTTTTTTTTGAGACAGAGCCTTAAGCTATTGCCCTGGGTAGAGTACTGTGGCATCACAGCTCACAGCAACCTCCAACTCCTGGACTTAAGCAATTCTCCTGCCTCAGCCTCCCAGGTAGCTGGGACTACAGGTGCCCGCCACAACGCCCTGCTATTTTTTGGTTGCAGCCATCGTTGTTTGGCAGGTCCGGGCTGGATTCGAACCTGCCAGCTCAGGTGTATGTGGCTGGCACCTTAGCCGGTTGAGCCATAGGCGCTGAGCCCAGAGTACCTTTTTTGAGAGTTATGTCTTTTACAAGAAAGACATAAATACTTGATGAAGAGTTATGAGGGTTACATTTGATAATACATAGAAGAGCTTGGAAAACTATTCTTAAAACAGACATATAAATGTTGTATATATAAGTTGACCTCTCAAGGAACTGTAACAAGCTGGTCAACATACAGAGGTAGTCATCATGAGGAACTAGGCCTACTGTACTTATACATACATGTTGTAAGTCTTTCCTTTTAATCCAATGTTTCTATTAATACAAATAAGGCAATTATTCCAAGAGATCTCTAAAATTTATTTTAAAGAAAATTTAAAGTTTCTTATAGGATCCATCTTTTAAGCATTTATCTTCAATGGAATATTTATTCCAAAAGCAGTTTAATCCAATAACTCTTGATAGAGAAAGCAATTTAATCCAATGCCTCTTTATAGAAAAGACACTTTCTAAGATTCCTAAAAATTCACTTTCAGAAATAGATATATAAGATAGGACATTTTAAGACAAAGACTTCACAACTGATACAAAGAGGACTGCTTAGAATCTTTCAAGTGTCTTGGATTCTAATCTTTTCAGACTGGCCACCTGATGTAGTTGCTTAGTGCCCAATTATCCGGCACTCCTCCAGGGGCCTCTGTGGGATGAGGACAGACAAAATTACTTTAGCTGTAATCATCAGCCTGGAAGAATTGATGGGATTCTATTTGCATAACCAGCCACCTCTCTTTTTATTTGGAGGGGAAGGAGTTTCTTATTTTTTTCCAAAGAAAATGGCAACATAGAACTTCTATTTTAAAGACACCATTCTATGACTTCTTCTATTTAAGGATCTCTAAGAAATAAGGAGTTCATGAATTGTCAGTGGCGCTTTGACCTTTCTGTTTAGGACATAATAGAATAAAAGATAATCTAATCTAGGAGGTCTAGTAGATAATCACAGGGCCTATAATATGAAGTTGCATCTGTGTGACCTTGAACAAGTCATTTAACCTCAAATTTTATCATCTATAAGAGGAGAATGAAAATAACTCTCTATCTCATAGGCCTATTATAAGATGGAAGGAAAAAATATATACTCTGGAAGCACTTGGCAGATATAACACCCTAGAGCAGCGTTTCTCAACTTGTGGGTCGCGACAGAGGAATGCTGCCTTTTGTGCATCAACAGTGAGCCAGGGAGAATCTGGAACAATCCTACCTTCTACTTTAAGATCTGGGAATATCATCTTCAATGTGAGGAGGGCTTAGGTTGAATAAATACAGTTAACAAAATTTAATCAGAATTGATAGAAAGGTTTATTAGAAATCATGACATGGAAAAATCATAGCTGCTGTGAGATATGCCACAGGCATTCAGTTCATGTCAAGTGAGGCACAAAGAGAAAAGCCCAGGCATGTCACAGAGAAGAGGGATCAAAAACAAATTGGCCACTTAGCTAAAGAAGCATAAACTCGTACTATTGGTAGGAAAGTGGAATTCTGGTGTTTCTTTCCCCTGCCTTTTTCTTTTTGTCTTCAGACAATCTGACAGGTTTGGTTTAACTTTTGACAAGTTTTCATCTTATGTGGGATAAACTAACATTCCAGGGAAAGCTTAAAGGGTGGGAGAGG